TGTGTTTCTCCCGTGATGCTCTGTGTTTCTCCCGCAGGTCTATCAGGGCCAGTTCCCGTACATTCACATGGAGCCGCCCGGTGAGTGAGCGCAGCTCTCTTTATCATTAGTGATCATTGCTGCAGAGGTTTCAGTGTTGCTGTGTTTTACAGACGTCATATATGAGCGCTGGACCAAGATAAAGCCCGAGGTGAAGAAGCACGTGGGTCATCTGATGCATGTGTCTGTGTTTTGGTGGCATATCCTCCTGAGACAGCAGGACAATCACCCCACCACCTTCTGGGCCGTGGAGATGGGCTTTCTGGACTCAAAGTGAGTGGCTTTCAGGAAAGAGTCACATCTGACGGTAGGGCTGGGCGAAGGGCAAAAAATCATATCCCGGTATTTTTTGGCTGAAATGCGATATACGGTAATATCTTGGTATTTTATATTTGGTTTATATATATATATATTATACATACACTGCCGTTCAAAAGTTTGGGGTCAGTAAGACTTGTAATGTTTTTTAAAGAAGTCTCTTCTGCTCATCAAGGCTACATTTATTTGATCTAAAATACAGAAAAAAAAAGTAGTTTTGCTAAATGTTATTACAATATAAAATAATGGTTTCTATTTTAATATCCTTTGAAATATAATGTATTTCTGTGATGCGTAGCTGTATTTTCAGCATCATTACTCCAGTCTTCAGTGTCACATGATCTTCAGAAATCATAATAATATGCTGATTTATTATTAGAAGTATCAACAGTTGTGCTGCCAAATATTTTTTTTGGAAACTGCGATACTTTTTTCAGGATTCTTTGATTAATAAAAAGTTAAAAAGAACAGCATTTATTCAAAATATAAATCTTTTCTAACAATATAAATCTTTGCTATCACTTCTTAACAATTTAACACATCCTTGCTGAATAAAAGTTTTAATTTCTTTCAAAAAAAGAAAGAATAAAAATTGACTGACCCTAGGCCTGTCGCGATAATTAAGTAACAGTCTAATCGCGATTATTTGATCTAAACAACTGCGATTATTGTGCTTTTTATACGACACAAACAGAAGAGCACCAGTTAGCTTTTCATGCACCGTATAGCCTATACAGGGCTCCAGACTCATTCTTCCCACTGAAGCTCTTTTGCAGCTAACTTTCTCAGCTGGTCGCATGAGCACATGATTTGCTCGCAATATTTTTTGTTTTGTTTTGTTTTTTGCGCTACAACATGGGATTATTCAATGCATGCTGATGAACTTTTATCATAGTTTATAGTTATATGGAAACGAAAGTGGTTAACATTCAACCCGTTCTTTATCATCAGTAGTATTATTCGTGATTTGAATTTTGTGAATGGGAGTTTCTCTTTTGCTGTGTTAAGCTTCAGATGCTTTCACTATCGAATTCGCGATCTTGTTGTCACTGTTTTGCTTAAATACATCTACACACCTTTCATTTTTTTAAGACTAAACCAAAAGATGGATTCATTGTTATTCTTAATTAAGAAGCACAACAACAATAAACCAGTAAGAACGAATAAGATGAGGCATGGCACACACCACATGCTGCATTATATACCGACTAATAAATTACAGAACGTTTAGCAAACACTGAGGAATCAAATAAATAAATAAAAGA